CGACTACTACCAGTGACCACCCTGACAGGGAGCACAACAGAGAGTCCCTGATGGAGCAGGAGAAAAGTGGGGTGCAGAACTCAAATTCTAATAAAAAGACCAGACTTAATGGTCTGACTGAGACTAGAGGGAACCCAGAAGACATGGCCCCTGGACTCTCTGTTAGCCCAGAACTGAAACCATCCCCAAAGCCAACTCTTCAGACATAGATTAGACTGAACTGTGGGACATAAAATGATACTCGTGAAGAGTAGCGTTTTAGCTCAAGTAGATACCATGAGACTAAATGGGCAGCTCTTGTCTGGAGGCGAGATGAGAAAGCTAAAAGGGACAGGAGCTTGTCGAATGGACACGGGAAATCTGGGGTGGAAAGGAGGAGTGTGCTGTCACATTATAGGGAGAGCAACTAGGGTCACATAACAATATGTGTATAAATTTTTGTATGAGAAACTAACTTGAACTGGTAACCTTTCACTTAAAGCACAATTAAAAAAAAAAAATACTAATGCCGAAATCACCATTACTGAACGTTTTGATCAAGGACCCAATAGATGGATCGTAATTTAAAAGAGGAAAAATGTGGAACAGAATTTCAAATTCTTAGAGAAACCAGACTTACTCGACCCACAGAGATTGAGGGAACCCCCAAATCTGTTGCCCTGAGATAATCTTTAAGCTTTTAGCTGAAACTCCTGTGAAGTCATCTTTAAACAGTTTAGCTCAACTAGTAAAGAATGTTTACCTTGAACATCTCGGTCTTTTAAAGAATTAATCTGTATGAGATCAAATTGACAACAGTAACTGTAAAACACAGAGAACTTTAGGGCATAGAGAGTCTAAGTCAATGATGGTGAAACAATATAGGTAGAGATAGTGAGAATAGTGACACAATGCAAAGAATGTAACGGATGTCATTGAGCTGTACATGTAGAAGATGTTGGATGGGTGTATGTTTTATTATGTATATTTTCACCAAAAAAGAAAAAGAAACATTAAAATCAGGATACGCTTATCGTGATAACTCAGAAGAGAAATTTTCAAGTTGTTAAAATTTGCATTTTCTTTTTCTTTAACCCTCTCCTCCCCTGTAGTTTCTTTTTGTACAATAAGTATATTCTTTATTACTTTTTAACGTACATTGGTAAGTAGATACAAAGAACACGTTAGAAAAGGTAAGCAAGTTGTTGAAACAGAAAGAGAATTACGGGAGACAGAGGAACTGGCTGACTCACTGTCCCTTGTGTACCATTTAGTACCATTTGAGTGTTGCATCACTAATTATAAACTGATGTAATTATTATCTGATCTCTTTAATATTTTATATCTTAAGTTTAGGATTGTAAATAAACTACAATATAGTTAATGTAATACAATGGCATGGTCTTGAGCTAATAAAGTGACTTGATTCAAAAAGGTCACTTTTAAAAGTAAGATTCATAGGTTTTTTTGTTTTTTTTTTTTTGTTTGGATAAAGATTTACAGAGCAAATTAGTTTCTCATTAAACAATTAATACACATATTGTTTTGTGACATTGGTTGCCAACCCCATGACATGTAAACACTTTCCCCTCCACTACTTTGGGTTCCCCATTACCAGCTTTCCTGTCCCTTCCTGCCTTCTCGTCCTTGCCCCTGAGCTGGTGTGCCCATTTAGTCTCATTTTGTTTTATGAGCCTGTCTAAGCTTTGGCTGAAGGGTGAACCTCAGGAGTGACTTCAATGCTGAGTTAAAAGGGTGTTGGGGGGCCATACTCTCAGGGTTTCTCCAGTCTCTGTCATACCGGTAAGTCTGGTCTTTTTTGAGTTTTGTTTTGTTTTGAATCATGGATTAAAAAATCTTTGAAATTTTTACTTATCTAATTCAAATAAGGGAATTTTCACTGTCTTATAAGGCAAGCTAATTCTGTTATTAGCAAGTTGTCATCATTAGGAGATACTATCTGACTTTCCAACAAAAATCCATCTCAAATCCTAATCTTTGAAACAAATTTTAAAGAACAAAGTATTTTCCCAAATAAATGAGAAGGAATGTTAATTGCAATGATAACTTTTGTTGTTATAATTCCAGGGGAGTCAAAGAAGAAATCTAGAATCTACGGTGTCTCAGATAGAAAAGGAGAAAATGTTGTTACAGCATAGAATTAATGAGTACCAGAGAAAAGCTGAACAGGAAAATGAGAAGAGGAGGAATGTAGAAAACGAAGGTCAGTTGTTGCTTCTTTTGAAAAACTTCAGAATTTCTAGCTAACACTGACTGTCCTTGAGGTCCTTGTCATGAAGCCTTAAATTCAATGCCTGTGATGTATTTATGAAGCCACAATCCTAACATGCCTCACTAGCTAAATTTCCAGATCCCGAGATAAATTTATAACATATTAAAGTCAGTAGTAAATAGCATTTTAGCCATAGTAATGATTCTCAGCTTTGTGTGTATATTGGAATCTCCTGCGAAGCTTTAAAGAATACTAACGCCAAAATCCCAGAAATTCTAATTTTACTGGTCTAGACGTGTGGCCTGGGCATCAGTGTTTTTAAAAACTCCCCAGATGATTCTAACAAGCAGCCATTTTTGAGAACCGCTAAGCTAGAATATCATGAGCTTTAACAGCAGTGTAACAAATACATTTAAAATAGCTTTCTACGCCCCTTGATCCAGTGATTTCACTTCTAGATGTATATGCAAAGCAGTCGTGTCATTGTTTAAAATGGCAAGAATTATAAACACGAATGTAATCGATGATATAATAAATACATCTATATAGTAGAATATTATGCAACTTATAAAAGAATAAAGCATCTCTTTATATGTTGGTATAACAAAGAATCTTCAAAATAGATCCTTAAGTGACAAAAACAAAGTACAGATCATTTGTGTTTAAAACAAGAGTGCTTATCTATTTGTATACAAGCATATAAACCCAAAACCAAGCCCGTTGCCGTCCAGTTAATTCTGACTCATAGCGACCCTGTAGGACAGAGTAACTGCCCCCTAACGTTTCCAAGGAGCGGCTGGTGGATTTGAACTGCCGACATTTTAGTTAGCAGCCAGCTCTTACCACTGCGCCACCAGGGCTCTGTGTGTTTATTTGTTTTGTATGTTAGCATACAGGTGCTGTAAAAATGGCATAGGGGCCTTGTCTGACCCCATCTAACTTGGCACAAGGGAGAAGGAGAACCAAGATCAACAGTACAAGGCTGGCTCCCATGAGGTGGAGGACAGACAAGCCTCCTCTTGCTGCCATCTTTACACACCAACTGTTCCTCGCATGACACTCTACTTCTCTGCTGGGTTCGATAATGCATTGCAGTGGCCGCACAGAACTCACAGATGATATGATTACGGGGTTTATTAGGGAAGTAACAGTTACAGTTTAGACTCAGGGACACTCAGGATACACTTCTTCCATCAGGACAGCCTCTTCCCAACTGTGCTCACAGGCATGCCTCTCCATGGCCCTACGCCTCTCCCCAAAGGCACTCACGTTCTCTCTCCATGGGCCAGGAAGCCCACCACGCCATCTCCTGCTGCCAAGTCTCCGCTGCCCGGTCTCTCCTGCCACCGCTTCTCACCATCTTTCAGGGTTACAGCTTCCACTCTCACGCGCTCTCTCACTCTCTCTCTCTCTTGCTCGCTCTCTCTCTCTGTCTCCTGCTTCCAGGAGCTTCTCAGTGTGGGGATCCCGGGTCCAAAGGACACGCTCTCCACTCCTGGCTGTTTTTCCTTGGTGGTGGTAGGATTCTCCTCTCTGCTCTGAAATTGGCTCTCTTTTAAAGCAAAACTAACCAATCCCCTTGGTAGGCCACAATTACCCTGTCACACAGTCCCGCCCAGTCACCTGGGTGGGAGTTTCGAGACCATGGCTAGAAAGGCCACACAAAGGTAACCAGTCACACCGCAGGTGCATAGACCGTCTTAGGAAGGATACACAAGGAATTAATAGTAGTTGCTGAGAAGGAGAGCCAGTTAAGGGAGGCCGAGGGACTGGGAGACAATGTGGAGAGAAGAAGGCTCATTCTACACTATACACCATTAAAAATACATAACTATTCAAAGAATTGTAATATTCAAAAATAATATTAAAACTAGCTTTCTAATATTTCACTAATAGATTGACCTTAAGAGAATAAAAGAATTAGAAATAAGGTAGAAAGAAACCTGTTTTTGCACTCGGTATTATAAAAATAATGCCCTCCTCTTTGATGAGTTTAAAATGTATTTCCAAGATGGAATTTGGGTTTGGGAATGGGAGTGGACCTAATGTGCTAGACTGTTGTGGCCTAAGACTAAATCTTATTTTTTTAAAGGAATTTGCATGTTTCCTCTGTGAGAACTTTGTAATTTATATGCCTCATCTTTTCCTTTGCTAGTTTCTACATTAAAGGATCAGTTGGAAGACTTGAAGAAATTAAGTCTGAATTCACAGCTTGCTAATGAGAAGTTGGCACAATTACAAAAGCAGGTAAGTTTCTTAAATGAGGAGTCTTTATTATAATAATTAACATAAGTTTGATTATATTTTGGTCAAAAACGTATTTTCTCTCTTTCTTTTTTAAATAGCTAGAAGAAGCCAATGACTTACTTAGGACAGAATCAGACACAGCTGCAAGATTAAGGAAGAGTCACACAGAGATGAGCAAGTCAATTAGTCAGCTAGAGTCCCTGAACAGAGAATTGCAAGAGAGAAATAGAATTTTAGAGAATTCCAAGACAGAAACGGACAAGGATTATTACCAGCTGCAAGCTGTGTTAGAAGCTGAACGAAGAGACAGAGGCCATGATTCTGAGATGATTGGAGACCTTCAAGGTAGTACATTTTTTGTCATATTGTCCTCATGCAAGAAAATGACCTTGGTAAAACCAGAAATGACTAGTGTTTTTTCTCTCTCTCGATAATGCATATACTTGTATCACACTGTAATTTCTTCACTCTCATAGACACGCCTGTGAGATAGATAATGTGGATATTTTCCTATTTTACAGCCAAATTAACTGAAAACATAATTTAAAAATTTTCCAAATTCATAGAAGTCTTATCAAAGTGTGACTCATCCAGGCAAAGGGGATTGTCGCTATTAAACTCAGAATTCCTAAGGATTGCAGAAATAGAATCTTATTACATATAAAAGAGTTAGGTACTTGGGAAGGTTAGCGATAAAGATAATAGGCAGTCTTTGTGATCTAAAAGGAAGAAGACTGAGTAAATCTGTAACAGTGAATAAAAGAACAGTTTTTAAATGGTAATAAAATTTAGTTTGTTTTCAAAAAGATGCCTGCTTCTACCCACTTATGTTTCTGTTCTTTTCTAGTCTAAGAGGATTCTATTAGGCAGTAGCATCCATACTAATCAAAACAGATATGCACGGAAGTTGCCAGATCTCTCAGGGAAAAAAATGGGGGAGGAGTCCATTTTAACCTTAGTAACGGATGGGAACATAGTCTGGGGTCTCATGGGGCTTGATGATTAGCTGCAGTTCTGTGGAGAGAGGTCAGGGTCAGCTTCTGTGACTCTGGAAACAGAAATTAGGAGCTCCTGTTGGTTGGCTCTTGGCTGAGGAGTGTTGTGCAATCCTATTTCTCAGGGAGTGGTCTTAAAATAGATCTGAATATAACTAGGAAAGTAACCTCTTTATATGTATTAGGAAAGCCTTGCACTTGACTTCCTTAATTGCTTTTGTAGGTCCTTTTGTACAGTTTATTAGCTGCATGAAAGTAATTTCATCTCCTATCTTTATCCGTAAACTAAGGGGTTTAGAATAGATTACTCTTATAAATCCTTCTCATTCTAAGATTCTTTAAGTCTGTGATCTTCTGGGTCTGATTGAGCTGATTTACTTCAAAGGAAGAGGCCATCATTCATGTGCTCTGCTGAATAGTGGTTTTTAATCTGAAGCTATTTTTTCAGATTTTGGTGAAAGGTAAGAAAAATGTATAGCATGGTTTATTGTTGATTGGTTCATCCTTTTTCAGTGCTTCCTTTAAGATTTAGTTTTGGACTTAAATGTGAATCAAAGCTCTCACACACTAAAGTATGCATAAAACTATGTGCATCTCAACATAGTAAAGGTACATTGTGGCGAAAATCTCACAAATTTTGCATTAGTCTTTTATGGTCCATAAGAACTTTCATATCCGTCAAGTGTAAATTTCTTATACTTGGGATGCTGGACTTCTGGCAGAGTCATGATTGTCATTCCCTAGTTTAATATCCCCCATATGCACTAGTGGGTAGAAGCTTCTTAGTATGTATGAGAAATGACTTCCCAAACATAATTTAGGCTTTGTGGTATACATACCATATTTGTCTCATATTATTCGTTTTTTTTTTTTTTTACAACCCTTGTTGTAAAAAGCCTTCTTGGCTTCTAGGCTGTATAGAAACAGACTGTGGGCTGAGGTTTGCCTAGCCCTGAACTAATCAGTAAGGCCATTATAGAGAAAGTAAGCTTCCAAAAGTTCAGGCCATAGAGACTTAACCAAAATGAATGGACAAAGATCAAAATGGCATGGAGGAATTAAATTTTTAACTGAAATGGTAAGCTCTTCTTCATCTAGTAAATTTATCTGTAACTAACTCTTCAAACTGACAAATTGTAAAAATTAACTATTTAAAAAATAGCTCATGTTTTTTACTATTGTTTGGTTGATTCCTTCTTTAATTTTTTGTTTTGGGAAGTTCAAACATAGGCCAAAGTAGACTAGTGTAATGACCCCTAGGTACCTGTCATCGAGCTTTAGTAATCTTCATCTCATGGCCAATCTTACTTCATTTATAGTCCTGCCCTCTCCTTCCCAGTCCACTGACATGGAATTATTTTGAAGGAAATCTCAGATTAGGACTCTTTTTTTAAAAAAAGACATAACCACAATATCATTATCACACCTGAAAAAAATTGACAGT